TACTATCGGTAATGAGGTAGCGTTACTAAGTAGGATTCATAGTACAGGGTCTTTTGTCCGATTTTGGAACAGCTTTAAAAAATTGTAAAAAATCTAAATTTGATCGGAATCAGTTCAAACTTTCTACACAACATAAAAACATGTATACGTATTAGAAAAAATTATAAAAATGAAAAATTTTCTCCTTTTCATTTTTGGCGAAATTTGGTCAAAATCCCTGTACTATAGTACAGGGACTTTGACCCAATTTTGGAGCAAATTTAAAAATTCATAAAAAATCCAAATTTGATCAGAATCAGCTCAAACTTGAAACACAACATAAAAACATGTATATGTATCAGGAAAAATTATAAAAATTGCGAATTCTCTTCTTTTCATTTTTGGCAAAATTTGGTCAAAAATCCCTGTACTATAGTATAGCAACTTTTAGCCCTATTGTGGAGCAACTTCATTACTCTAATTTGATTGGAATCAGCTTAAACTTGGTATACAACATAAGAACATGTATATGCATCAGGACAATAGCATATTCAAAGTCCATAACTACTGTAGCACTGATGTTACTTACCATCAGTGAAGTTGAGCGGTATGCTGTAATCCTCAGAATCAAATGATGACAATATGTGATTAGTTCCTGACTGTAACACACACAGCAGCTGGAATCCAAGACATGTGCCCCATAAAGGGAAATAATCTCCTTCATCATTAGCCTATGGATATCATAATGTTAACAAAATTAGATTATATTCAACTGATTTTTGCTGGTTAGAGCATAAATATACACGCGTGTAGGTCAAATTGTTAGTGGTTAATGCAGTATTTTCTATCAAACCTGTTTGGCGAGTTCAAATATTGTTTTGGCTACTTCAAGATAAGCTGATTCCACCAGTGAGCTACCGCCCCCAGGAAAGAGAACCCTATTAATAATAATAATAATTAACACCTTTAATGAGCCACACCTACCCATTAATGGATCCGAACAAATCCTTCAGTTCATCTTGTGTTATATTATTACTTGTTATTGATCACCGTCAAGGAAAAGTATAAGGAGGAGCATAAGAACAAGTGAAAAGGCTATTATGTTAGAAGGAGGGGACACTAATGTATAGTCTACACATAGATACTTGAGTCTACTATCTATGGTCTACATGATGTGAACACAACATCTTTTTGTAGTTAGACATAATGAAACAATTCCCATTAGTATAATACAATGGATACATAATAGGAACAACACGAGCACCTGCAGATTCAATATACTTAACATAAGATGCTGCAATGTATGAATGACCTTCAGTAGTGGTCTCTGATACAATACCTATTGTATATATATACATGTAAAGGAGGTGGTCACTATAGTGTAACTAACCAATGATTGGTCTAAGATTGAGAGAAAAGGAATTAGTTACAATCAAGAGCACAAAAAACAGAGCAGTGATCAGTTTCACCATTTTTGCTGACTCAAGTAGATAATAAATTAGGCTATAAAAATTAATAAGACTATGATAATATTATTCATGACTCAGTCCACTAAAGTAGATAGTACACTTTACTCCAATTATAATTAATAACTACAATGATTTCCTGATTATAGATTAGATTAAAATGCTTGAGGGAGAAGAAATAAGATTTTTCTTGATGTCACTGATGATTATGGTGACAGTGGAAGCAGCTGGTATATATGTGTGATCAAAATCCTATACTGAAATTAGTCCTTTTCTCTCATAGTTATAACTCTAAGTCCTGTTTCTGTTACTACAACTCTCAATATGATTGTGAACTTTACTTGTGAAGGAAGTGGTGAACAACTTTTCT